CCAGGGACACAGACAGGATGTCCAGTGCAGGGCCAGGGACACTCTTCCCACACCACGGCTATTCCAACAGACCCTCGAGCCCCTGTGCACACAGAGAGTCAGAATCCACCCCCAACACCACAGAAGGGAAACAGCCCTTCAATGTACACCTTGACCTCAAACTGGAGCAGCCCCCTTCCATTTTCCCCTCCAGACAGGGATGCAGTCAGCATTTCAGGCCTAGCAGAGACTCTGACTTAGAGCAAGGCCCGCAACTCACCTTTACCTCAGGGTTCTCTCACAGCTGACAGGGAACTGGGGCAAGCTGCCACACCTGTGCTCTGTTTGTGCAATTTTCTGAGATATTACAGAATGAGAGAGCCTAATGCACCAGAGGCAAGAATCTGCCATGCCTCAGCCACAGGCACAAGGTGTGAGCAATCCTGGATACACCGTGTGCTCTCGGGCACCTTCAGCACAGCGAGCCTTTGCTTGCCTCAAACCACYGGGGCAAAAAACACAAGAGCTGTGGTTTTGGTTTGCCCAGGCACAAGCTGAACCAGGTAATCTGCTGGTTTCACTGATGCCACAGGCTGGAATAACTGATTGGCACAGCCCAGCTTCCTTCAGCAACCAGACCCCASGTTTGGCTTTTCATAAGAAATGATAAACTCTGTTTGTAGCCACTGTTGGTAGGTGACAACCCACAATGTGGCTGCTCTGGGACACAAGTGTGTGTGCATGGACCAGTCCTGGAAATGCTGTGTTTTAGCTTAGGTAGGTGATGGCTTGGGATTTTTTTTTTTTTTTTATTTTCTCCAGTGTTTTTGTTACATGGGAACAGGAGTGCTGCACTGCCTTAAAATCTACCACTGCATTTGCGCTAATTATGAGGCRGTAAGGCTACATGTAATTCATAGGGAAAAAGCATTACTCTTCAATTTGAATGCCATTTATTATTCACTGGATACAGAGTCACTCATGCTCAAAAACTAGAGAATCACATACAGGAGAAACAGTAATGCACAGACCAAATAGAGGACATTTCTCCCAAATTACAATTTGGCTTCAACATGAATTGCAATAAATGGATCTTCATCATCGGTATTAATCTGGAAATTAGCCTTTCCRTCACCAGAAACATACACTTGCTTTCCAGTACATTTKTCACCTTCCTTTTGCCCAGAAATAACATCACAGTAGGTACCAGCAGGCAGTCCAGTTTGCACATAGACACTCATATTCCTGTGAAAAAATAAACACTATTTATGAACTATTTATGCATTGTTTTCAAAACAGGTATTTCAAATTCTGTATAAGATTTTCAAACCTGATGCCACTTCCCTATTTGAAGGTCAGTGTAATGCATGAGCTTTCTGATCCTATCCCACCTACACACATTCCCATTTTGGCTCTCTAGACCCAGCATGCACTCCAATAACTCATGTTGGTTTGCTGATGAGGGATGCAGTTATTCTCTCTGGGGACACCAYTTCTCCCACTGACTTACCAGTCATCATTATTGAAGATGATGAAGCCTTTATTACCACGGCCAAAAGCCACTTGATTGCTGCCATTGTCCCACCAGTTGGAGAAAGGCTCACCATCCACCACATTACGGAACTTAACCATGTTCCTGAAAACACAC